CTCTTGATCACTCTGATTGGGTGCAAGCAATGCAAGATGAATCAATGAGTATGAACGTAACAAGGTTTGGAGATTAATTCCAACTCCACCAGATGCATCAGTTGTTGGTTTGAAATGGGTATTTCGCAACAAGATGGATAAAGAAGGGAACGTGATCAGGAATAAAGCAATACTTGTGGTCAAAGGTTATTGTCAAGAAGAAGGTATTGACTACGAAGAGACCTTCGCACCCGTTGCAAGGTTGGAATCCGTTCGCATATTCTTGGCATATGCAACACATAAAAACCTAGAAGTTTTTCAAATAGACGTGAAGTGTGCGTTCCTAAATGGCGAACTGGAAGAGACTGTTTACGTGGAGCAACCACCTGGGTTCGTGAATGAAAAGTATCCCAAGCACTGCTATATTCTCGACAAGGAAGTCTATGGTCTGAAGCAAGCTCCAAGAGCCTGGTATGAAACATTAACTCGTTTTCTTAAAATGTCCAAATTCAAACAAGGTTCGGTTGACCCAAATTTCTTTCACAAGAAAGAGGGTGACCACTTGATGATCTTCCAAATCTATGTTGATGAAATCATCTTCGGATCTACTAATCCTAGCCTAACAGTTGAGTTCCGAAAGTTGATGGAAACTAAATTTGAGATGAGCTCAATGGGTCCAATTAACTTTTCCCTTGGATTAAACATTAGATAGGGACAGGAGGGAATTTTTATAAATCAGGAAGCTTACACGAAGACCTTACTCGCTAAGTTTGGAATGGTGGGAGACTCAAAGGTGAAGGTTCCAATGGCATTCGGAACGAAATTGACTCCTTCATTTGATAAACCAGCTGCAGATATGACCCTTTATCGTAAGATGATAGGTTCACTAATGTATCTAACAGCCAGCATACCGAATATTATGTTTTCAGTTTGTTACTATGCTAGGTTCCTAGCCAACCCTCGCGAACCTCATATGGTGGTAGTTAAGAACATCTTTAGGTATCTAAAACGAACATCATCTCTTGGAATATGGTATCCTGCGAACTTAGGGTTTTTCATGCAAGCATTCTCAGATGCTGACCTAGGGGGATGCAGATTAGATAGAAAAAGCACAACTGGTGGATGCCAATTTCTTGATGGCAAATTAGTGAGTAGGAAATCAAAGAGACAAACATGTGTTTCGTTGTCAACTGTTAAGGCTAAATACATAGTTGCAGCTTCGTGCACTTCTCAAGTCATTTGGATTCAAAGCCAGCTTCGCGACTATGGATTAAGTATGAAAAGAATCCCTCTTTACTGTGACTCTGAAAGTGCAATTCGCATTTGTCATAACCCAGTGCAACACTCAAAGACAAAACATATATCACTGAGGTATCACCTCATAAAAGATGACGTAGAAGATGGCAACGTCGAGATACATTTCGTTAGATCCGCTGATCAGTTAGCTGACATATTCACCAAGGCCCTACCTGAAACAACCTTTAATAGAATACTTCAAGGGTTGGGAATGATGGATGTTGAATCTGTACCAAAACCACTTTTGCACTCATAAAGTTTCACTGCGAATTGGTGCGAACGTTCGCAGTAACTCGCAGTCAACTGTTCATTTGCAGTCGTATTTATGGATGTGAATCGGTGCGAACGCTCACAGTAGTTCGCAGAACACTGTTCATTCGTGGTTTGTTTTTTCATATATCCTTTTGTACTTTTTGTATATTATTGCTTATTTTTCTTTTCTATTTGTATACTTTCTGTTTTTATTTCTTTTCAGAAATTTTCAAAAACCAAAAATCTTTTATTTGTTTCTATTTTATTGCTTTTCAGAAAAATAAAATTACAAAAATATTTCCATCTTGTGTTTATTTTTTTGTTTCTTTTATTTTCACAACACTCAAAATTCCAAAATTAATAAATTCACACCAAGATCATGGAAGAAGATGTTCGCAACATTTATCAATTTGTGTGATGGGGCAGGTTTAACTCTCTTTACTTATGTATTAACTAAGGTGGTGTTTGTTTTTTGTCTGCAGATATGCGTGACCTCTTCTGTCTGCGCCGCGCAGAGCACGCTCAGACATTAGCCTTCGCAGACTGTTTGTTTTTTTGAAGACTGCAGACCTAAAAATGTATGCGCGTCCTCTTTTTGGTGCAGATGTGGACCAGAGTCTTCTAACATCTTCAGACATCTTCTAGCCTAAAAAAACACATATATCTTTACTTTTTTAAGTTTTTTTTTTAATTTATATTTTTTCTAACTTTATTAATGATAAACAATTTGAAAAAAAGTACAAAACAAAAAAAAACGCTCGACGATACAAACATGATATTTTTGACAAATTTATAAATAAAGATTTATTACAATAATAGTTATTGAAGTTGTCTATATAAATATACAAAAAAAATCATAATATATTATTATATTTTTTTACAAAATTTTGTAAAACATTATTTAATACAGTATCGTCAATTTCTCGAGAAAATATTTATGGTGCGTTTTTAATGGATTTAAGTGAAAAATCGAAGTTTATTTCAATCCATTTATGTATCAAATTCTTTTATCCGTAATTACAATGTTAAGTCATAACTTTGCAACCAAAGTTGTTCGTTTTTATCAAATATATACGTTAATTCATACCATTTCTATTTTTATTTTCTATACAATAATACATAAAAGTTGATCTAGATCCGTTAATTATTTATAACAAAGTCATAAAAATATTAAAAAATCACTTTGAAGTTTAAAAAAATTAGTTTATTTAGATTTCAGTTTATTTTAGTAGCCCGCAGATGTTAAAAAAACAAACAGTCTTCTTTTTTCAGACGACAGACGTTTGGTCCACCTCTTCTACTGCAGAGGTCTACAGATGTGGTCCGCAGACTGCAGATATTTCGCCTCAGAAAAAAAAACAACACCTAAGTGTCCCTAGAAGCATGATGTTGCATGTTGACATAAGCCTCAACGACTCGAATATGAAGCCTTAATGAGTTGATACTACCAATCAATTCTTCCAAATCAGGCTGCTAATTCACATCAGTCATGAGCTACCTTACTCTTCTCACATTGAGTTAAGAGTTATATGCATGGTCAGTTTCACATTGCAGAGGTACTTTCGCTTTCTAATAACAATTTTACATTTCTCAATTACTCTCGCATTCATACTTGTAACCCTTGAGACTCTCAGATCTTACCACTGAGGTTTATGGTTCCACAACATCTGTGTTCATGATCTTAGTTTCGTAAACCACGAACTAAGTGAAACCCAAAATTCAATACATTTCATGAATTGACGGTGAACAATCAAGCATTCTAGTATTTTCACCAAGGAATTAACGAAAGTCCACTTTCGTGGTCTGTACCAAGAAATCTCTTTTCTTTTGTGTGATCCTAATGAAATATTCTAGTCGTAAGATGTTTCTTCCCAATGGATCCAGTTTTAATTTTTTTTTGAGATTTCAAATATTCTCCAAGTCACTAAAACTCTTTCAAACCTACTCGTTCAACTGACTACACTGGTCACACGAGTACTTTTTCCAACTTTCGCACTTATGTCGAGTTCGTAGTTTGGTAGAAGAATGAACCACCATTTATAAGCCGTATCAAAAGAGGCCTTTTAATGTTTCTCATCAAACATTTGATCGTTATTCAACGGGAAACCACACTGACACTTCTTAGTCTCTCTTAACTTTGAAGGAAGAGATCTATGCCCGAGATCCTTAGTTTTATGTCTTTTTTTTAGACATCACTAAATCCCACAGATTTGTATAGATTTATTTCTTTATCTTTGACACTCTTTCACGAAGATCCTTGTGATTTTCAAAAAGTCTAGTTCGTGGTTTCTAATGTTCTTTCAGGTTCGTAGTTGTATCTATGTTCGCTAAACTAACCGTTCGTGTCATATATATTCATAACGCTACTTCACTCCGAAAGGGGATACGCTGACATGGCATATCTTAAGAGATAAGAATTCAAATGGGTGCGTGATAATTTGAATCGACAGCTACTTTATTGCCGCATCACACACGAATCTGACACCTCTACGGTTGTCAAGTCACGCTTTTTCAGGCAACGTTTCAATAACCGATGCAATCTCTCTCCTGATTTTCCTCCCATATCGAATCGTATATAAAGATTTTGACGGTTATATCTCTCATTACCACTTTCAAAATCTCTAAACGATCAAAAAGCTCTCAAATGTTCATCTTCTTCCTCAATTTCATCAATGGCGACTTCATCTGAAAACGCATATGTTCAAGATCAAATTGTTCACTCGACACTTCTTGCCATCAAGCAACACCAAAACCTCATCATCGATCTGGAACCAGTTAAGTATGATCCTTACATGCTACCTCTTATTGAGTGCCTGAAAGTCTCCCCTCTCACAATCGCAATGACTCAACTTGAGAATGTTCCGATGTCGATTCTCTCCAAGGCATACAAAACGGAAAACTATGTGAAGGATGAACAACGGATCTACTTCGACATCCACAACCATACAACCTCGATTTCCAAAGCCCGTTTCTATAATTTGTTAGGGCTTCCTCAGTCTGACAACATGGTTAACCCGGAAACTATTCCAAACGCTGCTATCTTGGAGATGTTCTACTAAATGGGGTACAAGGAAACTCTTACCGTCGTTTCCAAATTCAAGAAACCCAACCTTCCTCCCACATGGAATGCTCTGTTCACAATTCTATTCAAAGCTTTTTCTGAAAGGGTCACCGGCAGCGACTGTGTAAGTAAGCTCTCTATGGGTCTCATGTATGGGCTTTACACTGACCAAAATGTCGATTATGGTTCAATCCTCTAGGCTAAAGTCATCCAGAGCACTCATTCTGTCACTCGTCACAGTGAGATCTCTTGTGCGAGATTTTGGACGATCATTGTTAACAGGGCGATTAACCAACTTAAAGTTCCAGTGATGTCTAATGCACTGATGGCTTCGATTGCAACCTTACACACTACTGGCATCATTGTGGCCGATCCCTCAAATTTTTCCTTCATCGGATCGATCCATGAGGCCATGTTCTGTGATGTGCCTGCCAGCAGCAAAATCTTAGAGGGTTATCGCGCTCTTAAACCCTCTGGATTTCGCCCATTGAATGCTGAATTTCAAGAGATTTTGGCTGAGGTAGACAAGGGCAAGAAAGGAGGAAGAGGGTCCAAGAAGACTGGCAAGAAAGACACATCAAAGGAAGGACCATCTAAGGCTGCAAAACTTCAACCCAAAAAGCGAAAGGCTCCTGCTGCATCTACTGTTGCTCCGAAACGGCCAAAGCAGCCTGTTAAACGGCGAAAGTCTCCAACTCCTTCTCCATCTCAGAGTGAAGACGAAAGCTCTGACTCCGAGTTTGAGGTTCGCGTTGAAGACAACCAACAGGTTGGTAATGAAGAAGAAGAGCATGTTCACACTGAGGAGGAAGATCAAGTTCGCTCCGACCCACCTTTTCACACCAAGGATCCATCTCCGAATCGTGAGGTCACTCTACCACTTAACGATTATGTTCCTTCTCATCCTCCTTCACCAAAAACCACCACTTCTATCCCAATCACCATTGCACCTTGTCCACCACCAGTATCATCTCAACCAACAACAGTTACTGTTACTACTCCTATCTTCACTGATTCTACCATCCCACCCAAAACCTCTGGTACACCTGCAAGTTCAGTCAACGTATCTGATATGTGGGCTACTACTTCAGGATTCTCAAGCCACGTTTCACCACCTATCTCTCCAATTCGCACTGACATCCCTGACATGATTTTTGGAGACGAAGATGATGATTTGAGCGGATTCACTTACAGTCCTTTCCAAATAAGGATTGACAGTGAAGATGAAGCTTCTGTTATGAAAGAAGAACTCAAGTCTCTTCAGGAGAAGATAGATCAGCTGCTTCCCGCATCCAAGGCCTCTTCTTATGAGGCATACTCCAAAGCAGCTGTTGAGTCCATCCTCGAGCGAGTCACGAAATAGCATGCTGCTAATGCTACGACTATGTCTAAAGCAGTATCTGACTCCGCTGAAGTTTCAAAAACAACGACCGAAAAAGTCGATAAACGAATTGCTGACACCATTGAATTCATGAATGATTACAAGACCACCTACAACTCCAACACCGCCACTGCGAACCAGGCTATTCATAATGTGGGTGCCTTGTTCAAAGCGGAAAAACCCAACTTTGTTACTCTTTGCAAGGAATTTAAAACTGATCAAGAAGCATTCTAATCTTCGATCCCTGCAAAAATCAGAAAGTTGCAGGATGACTTGGCGATGGAAAGAAAAATTATGGATGCTCTCTCCCTGAAGGAAGAAAAATGCAAGGTGTTGGATGTCAAGCATCAGCACGCTGAAAAGCAAGTCAATGATTTGCTATCTGAGAGGCAGCAGTGAGAAGTTTTATCACCAATGTCACTGGACTGCTCTCCGATATCATCGAGACTAGGGATCCGGTGATTTCATTAAATGTTAAGAAGCATTTAAGTGAGAAGCTTAGTTCGGTGTTTGCTATGTTACACCGTTTGGAGGGTGTTTCAAAACCGGTGTCTTTTTCGAAACAAGGGGGAGATGGTGGCTCCAATGCTCAAATGAACGAACCTCCCAAAGCCCCTGCAAAACCATTTATTGGCAATGACGACGAAGACGAAGAGCCTGATGAAGCTGAGCTCAAAAGGCGGAAGGCTCGCGAAGCAGAAATTAAATGAACATGCTCGAATCGTTAGGGTAGCAGAATAGAAGGAAAGGGCTGAAAAGGAAGCTCAGGCCACTCTTAAGAGCAGAATGTTTTTATTTACTAAGTGGACCTTGAAGCGTATCCATAACCAAGTTGTTGATCTACCAAGCCAATATTGGTTGGATCCAGTTGCCTCCTTTGATATTCAAAACACTTAGGATTCGCAACTGGACCTTTCAATCACTCCAAAGGCTTTCAGGTTGCGTGCCTTTGTGAAGGTTGTGAATGCACCGTTCACTGACAGCAGGTCAGATCAAATTTTGTTCGTCTTTTACTTAAAGCACATGAAGCCCCAGTTTGAAACTTGGAGTGCGAACAAGATTGTTGCTGTTAAAGTCACTGGGACGATCGAGACCAAAAACTTCCCCAATGCGAAGTTTAAGGTTGTGAGAGGATCAGCTTGTCAAGCCTACGAATTTACCCTCGCATACCTGCCCTGCCTGAACCCCCATGACTGGATGGTGCTCTTCAACTTGTTGTTGCGAGAGAAGGAGAAGTACGAACCTGTGATGTCCCATCTTCAACTTATGATCAAGTCATACATTCAAGAAGTTGGATCGATGGATGTGGATATTGCCACTGTTTTAAGGAAGAAACTGAGCGTTGTTCCTAAGGAAGCTCCGAAGGACTTTGATAAGTTAAATCCAAGAAAATTTTATGTCACACCCCTAAACCAGAATGGCGGAAACATTCGGGGGCAGATGACTTCACGTAGTATTATAACAGTTGATTATTTGTAAAGAAAGTAAACACAACCATCATAAATATAATTTGAAAGTTACATTGTTGCATGTAATACATGGTTCAAAAGAATATTACAAATATGATGATTTAAAATGTTTTGATAACTGACGCCTTAATGTTCCTTCTCCAAAAGCTGATGTTTTACCTGTATTAATGATTCCCTGAGAAATACAAGTAGGTTTGAAAAAGTGTCAACAATTAAGTTGGTGAGTTCACAAGTGTTTTTGTACTTAAATTTTATGCCTTTCGGTAAAAATAATTGAGCGTGTTTCTAGAAAATCCAATATTTTCCATGTATGTGTGGTAGTTTGAAAAAGTTCCAAAGCCTGGAATGCATAAGTATCTTCGTGCTAAAAATGGTGTAAGTGGATGTATACATATATAATGTAATTACTAAATGCATTTAATAGTCTCGTAAATCAAAGATATTTCGATACTCCATGTGAGTTTAATAACCATGCTATTGACCCAGACTGCCTGTAACAACGTTCTTCAGGCGTTGCAGTGTTATGACGTTTGTCACCCCAGACCTGCCGGTCTAACTGTAGCTAACAGTTTAGGTGCGGGATTGTCAAATCCCGTATAGATCTATACACAAGTATCACCCTCTCCCTACAAGAGATTATGGCTTATAATAAAGGACTTGAAATGCGTACTTGAGAGTACGGTGAAGCCGGATGTCTCACATAGCTTTGTATCAAAAGATGAAAGGTCCACATTTCTTGTAAATGAAAGTATTTCCTTTTTATAATGTTTATGTAAAGGTGTCATGCATAACTTGTAAACTATAACCATTATAGTTTTTCGAAAGTATGTTCCGTTTGGTGATAAAACTCGGTGTAATACCAACTTTGCATCTAAAGTGTAACGTTGGTGGTAATGTTGTTTAACATTTATGAACAAGATATAGGTAAAGTATTTGAAAACATATGTAACGATGCGTATTTAAAACATAAGTCTTTCTCGTGTTTCACTTGTATTCCCCCCCCCCCCTTAAAACATGAAAAGACGTGAAAGTGTAGGGGTATGAACTCACCTGGAAAGTGTGGTGATTTGAAGAAAACGAGATTTTCTCGGGCAACACTTCGACCGGGAAGTGGTAAGTTTCTCGGGATTCTCGGAGCTTCGGACCTTCGTCGGAACTTGGATATGTAACCGGAGTGTCGGGGTCGTCTCGGGGTGCTAAACGTAGAGTAGAAGTGAGAGATAAGAGGGAAATGAGCAAGAGAAGTCGGAACCCTCGCATCTTATTTATAGGTTGAACTTTCGGGACTCACGTCGCGAGCATGGGATGGCTCACGTCATGAGTTTGGCCCGTAGACGCGACGCCTGGTGGTCTAGCTATGGCACACATCAGTCATAGACTCACGTCGTGAGTCTTCGGATAAGGTTGGTGTGCGTGCCCCAAACTTCATAAATTCATATATCTCGCATACGTGTTCCGATTCCGACGTTCTTTATATCCACGTGTAGGTGGAATTATGCTCTACAACTTTCGTTTAGACCCCGTCGGCTAATTTTGAGTTAAGTTTTTAATATTATATTTTTACTAGGCCGGGACAGGAAAATTTCATTAAAAATTCATAACTTCTTCATCCGATGTCTGTTTTCGTCTGTCTTTTTACCGTTGTATTACTATTGTCGAGATCTTCAATTCTCGTTTAGGTTGGATCGGCTAAAAATCGCTTGATCTCTATTTCGAGTTTTTGGATGTCTACTGCTATATGTACGCTCACGGTTTGTTATTATCTACGACTTTTGTTTAGATACTTAAGGCTAAAAAGGATTTTATTGAAATTTCACTTTTTACGCTTAACAGTGTTTTACCGGTTGTGTTGCGGATTTTCGATTGGTCATAACTTCTTCGTTATAACTCGGATTTGAGTGTTCTTTATATTTCTGAAAACCTTGACACAATATCTAAAATTTTATGTATTCCATTTGAGACTTTAGAACACTTCATTTTTGACGCTATTTTTATTGATTCTTAAATAGATTATAACATTTGACTTTTTGAACAATACATTGACTTGGAATATCGGGTTGTCACATCATCCCCCCGTTAGAGGGAATATCGTCCCGAAATTAATTCTACATTAAGTATTTATGGACTAGGGAAAAGATGTGGGTATTTTTCTCTCATTTGATCTTCGCGCTCCCAGGTGTATTCAGGTCCTCGCTTGGCATTCCAACGGACCTTCACAATGGGTATGCGATTTTGTTTTGTTCTTTTAATTTCCCGATCCATGATTTCTACAGGCTCTTCTACGAAGTGGAGACTCTCGTTGATTTCAATTTCGTCTAGAGGGAGACGAGAGTCTCATCTGACAGACATTTCTTTAGGTTCGACACGTGAAAGGTGATGGGTTTTGAGCACTACATCATTCCTATGCTGTACATGCAAACCCTAAAGCTTCAGATCTAGTTTTTCTAATGAACATGCAATAATCATCCAAAGCCATAAACACTAGATCTAGCATGTGATAATCAAATAACATATGAATTAGGGTTTGGATCTTACCTTGATTGTTATGTAGCAATAGCAATCACAATTCCTTCTTGTAATTGGCTTTAATAACCTTAGTGTCACAAATGTCACACCTCTAATGGCTCACAAACAACTAGAGCAAGAGGATGAAGAAGGAGAAGAGAGGAGGCACCCAAAAACGTCTACAAACCCTAAGGAATCAGTTAGCCACGTTTTTGGTGCCCTAGGGGTCCTTAAATAATGAGGCTATTAGGGTTATCTAACAAGGAAACACTAATTTGACTGCTTAGGCCCTAAGCAGCCCATGGACTCCCTCCTTAGAGGCCTTGGACGATTTCTAATGGGTTTCCCCATAGAATTCGTCCACTCCTTTAATATGGAGTCCATTTGCCCAATATTCAACTATCACACAATTGATAGTTTTAGTCCCCTAAGTTTAATTAATCCCTTTTAGCCACAAAATTAATTCTTAATTAATTATTGACTAATATTAATTAAACAATATGATTTCTCCTTTAATATATTATTCTCATAATATATTAATAAATCATAATTAATCCTCTCTCTCTCCATAATTCATCCTATCAAGTTGCTTTGGTGAAGGCAACCCAAAAGGACCATGCACCATCAGGTCAAGTACATAACAAAATAGTTATGGACTTAGACACTAATCCAACAGTCTCCCACTTGGATAAGTCTAATAACTATTCTGCGTATGACTTTAGCTCCTGATCTGCAATCGTAGCTTTCAAAAGCCGCTGTCAACTCTGATCTTATCAGAAACGTGTCCTTTAGATAAGGGATCATATATTCCTCCATTCTAGATATTGTATAGACTGATACATGGATTTAAATCATTCTCTCTGTCTATATATTGTTTTCCCACTTTCGATCTATGATAACTGACAACAAACTAAAATTGAACACATCAACTTAGTCCCGGCTTGGCCAAGCTCTTAGGTGTCATCACTAAATCATCGAGGGGCCCACAAATATCGCTTTTATCCCTACCTTGGGTAAAAGGAACGGATAAACTTCGACTCAATGCTCGCTTGTACTTACTCACCGAATTACACACAACAATACGTTTTATAACACCAAGTTACTGGTGCGTTTACATATTATCAATGTGTAACCAACTCGCAAGATACAACTTACACATCTCGGTTTCAAGAATACAAGATATTATCGTCTCACCAATCACTCGTGATAAAATCCATGAAGCGATCCAAGTGAGCGTGGGTTTATTCCAATACTCTAATCTTATAGTAGCACTCATGAACCCTGCAACGAACTTTTGCTATGTCTAAAACACTTTAGACAATCTATAGTCAGATTCATGACAGTCTTCTTTCATTCATACTTCCAAAGAATGAGCGACTGTGGAACGTTCGAATAATCTTATTATTCAGGAAGTCAAAACATGCAAACTAAAACACAAGAATAATACTAATCCTATATGGCCCAAACTTTTGAGTATAAATAAAACACCTTTTACTTAATCACCATATTGATTACTCATCATTTGTTGTTTTGGGTAATCAACTTCTTACTTGAATTATAACTACAATTGTCCCATGCTTTTAGCATGCACACTATGTTAACCTATGGTCCTTACTTTGTGAAATAGTATAATTGAATAACATTTTCAATCACACTCATTTCACAATTCCTAATGCATTAGTGTAAGAATACAAAATCCTCGCCACTACTAGAATATGTTAGATTCTAGCATTTTA